ACAAGGACCTGATGCTCTTCAGAGTGACAATCTCTGAAGAGTGGGAGTGATCGTCTGCATCAGAGTGCTGCCCGCAGCCCCATCTGCCCATCTGATCACACACACACACACACATTCTTAGATATTTGATCTCAAAACAAGATCTCAAACAAACAGTGTTCATTCACCTGAGTTCAACTTTGAAAGGAACGCAAAGCATGCTTGGCAGAACTAGTACAGAAAGGCTGAAGAAGGAAAAATGCTGCGAAAGACATTTTAATTGAAAAACTGTGACAGAAAACAAGCACAAGCAAGTAAAAATAGTCTTTTTGCTCACACAGGAGAACACCATGTTACTGCTTCAACAGGAATAATGTACGAAAAAACTGATGGATAGAAAGCATGCGAGAAAGACAGAGGGTGTGATTTCATTCTGTTCTCTCACGACTTGGCAAACACCTCTTGACACCCTACAGCACTGCAGCGCTGGATTAGATTCATCATGAGGATTCACCCGAGATCACTCACAAATGATACGGCCGGGATGGATTTCTGGGTGCTGGATGAAATAAATTTCCATTTACGCTGTGCTCCATGTTGTTAATTTGATAGTGATTTTGGCCAGGAGGCAAACCTCTTGACACCCTACAGCACTGCAGCGCTGGATTAGATTCATCATGAGGATTCACCCGAGATGACTCACAAATGATACGGCCGGGATGGATTTCTGGGTGCTGGATGAAATAAATTTCCATTTACGCTGTGCTCCATGTTGTTAATTTGATAGGGATTTTGGCCAGGAGCCTTTAAACAACTGCACATAGAATGCAACAGAGGCAAAAAGTACAATCTGTCCTATGAAACAGAACATGCCTTAAACTAATGAAGAGACTGGATACTGTAGCTGTCTGTATTTTTGATAGTTAGGTCCAAAATATATTTTATGCAAGAACGTGAATGCAGACACTTTAACCTGTGCAAGCTTGATTCGGTGTATTTTTGTGTTCTGAAATGTATCAAAATGCAATTTATCATGCAACGCCAGTACGCTGTGCATCCTGTTGGATGCTGCTGCAAAAGGCATTTCGTGTCTTCTATTCATATGAAATACTGTAATGATAATGCAAAAGTTTAAAAAAGAAAAAAAAGTCCAATAAGACTTTTAAAATGAATCTCATATGGTCACAGAGGCTGCATTTATTTTAGCAAAAAGGCAATAAAAACAGTAATGTTTTGAAATATTATTACAAAACAAAATAACTGTTTTTTTGACTTGATATTAAAAAATGTAATTTATTTCTGTGATGGCAAAGCTGAGTTTTCTGCAGCCATTACACCAGTCTTCAGTGCTACATGATACTTCAGAAATCATTGCTATAGGCTGATTTGGTGCTCAAGAAACATTTATCATTATTATCAGTGTTGAAAACAGTTGTTCCACTTAATATAATAATTATAATAATAAGCGTACACAATTTTTAACATATGATATATATTCATTTATGCATTCATTTATATATGCTACAGCAGTATTATTTTAATATATGATATATATAAATTTATACATTAATATTTAATATTAATATGCTACACCAGTATAGATATATATAGCCGAAAATTGTCATGTAAAACTAAACTTCATCTATTAAAAATATAATCAATAACAATAAAACATTGTAAGTGAATAAAAATAAAATGACATAAAAATGTAGAGTATGACACCTTTAAATTGTTATCATTGGTGTCAGAAGGGGAAGGTTATGTGTTAAATGTTTGTTATCTTTGTCAGTGGTGTTGAAAATACAGGTCAGTCGGCTAAGAGATGAGAGAAACCTGGGCTCGGTTTTTATCGACCGCGTTATGTGTTAAATGTTTGTTATCTTTGTCAGTGGTGTTGAAAATACAGGTCAGTTGGCTAAGAGATGAGAGAAACCTGGGCTCGGTTTTTATCGACCGCGTCCTCAGAAAAGCCGAGATGAGTGAAGTGCCTGGAAATGATCTCAGCGTATTACCACACACACTATTAAGACACTTACCATTAAAACAGTGATATGACTGTCTAGAGTTTGCGCATGTCAATATCCATCCCTTAATGGAAGTCATATGAAACCCCTACTTTGTTTTCTTGAGTGAGCAGTTCAGAGTTCAGAGTTTAGACAAAGTCACTCCTTCATAGCCTGAGCAAATCTTTTAGATATCCATCTTTCATTGAATATCCAGAAATGAACACTTCAGGTGAATTCCTCTGATAAACCACAAAAAAGCACTGCAGATAAATTACAAGAATTACCAAGGTTTACAACTAACCCAAGCAAATGTCTCTATTTCTGTAACCGCTGAATTGCAGTTTTCCGTGTTTTAGCAGCTGTTTCTTATATTACAGGTGCCTGATGTTTAATTACACTCTAAAGCTCCAACGGTCTGTCTGATACACCACAGATGCCACACCTGCTACCTATCGCCACGGCAACAGATGCCAATTTCCTTATTTATGACATCATAAATTAATCTCTGTGAACTCCGGACTCAAATTTGAAGAAAATCTGCTCCTCTTTTCATTTTCAGACACAACACGTGATCAAAAACAACACAGACAAGCGGAAATAATCTCAGTAAACAGCACGTCTTGTGTCGTTCCGCCACATTACAGGAAAATAAACTTCTAGAAGTCTCACGAGGCTTTGAAATGCATTTGTTTTGTTTGCGAGAAGGATGTCATGATGATTCAATAAAGCAGAAAGGATGTCACACATATGATGGATGAAAATCACATGGAAACAGTGAGGAAAGGACCTGAAAGGTAAAAGTGTATATTTTTTAGCCTTTAAATTGCTTTGTTACAGTGATTGTACATGCCCAGTCTGTCTCAGAGGGCTGAGAACACAGAGAGAGACAGATCCAGAGGTGCTGATGGGAGGGAGGGAACGAGTCAGATCCTTAAAGGAAGGACAGAGGGAGGAAAAAACATGACCTACTTCTGTTCCATCCCTTGTTTCTATGGAGAACGAGAGGAGAGAAGTGGAAAAGTAGCAGGAGGGCAGAATGTGTTCTCAGAGAGAGATGTGGCCACAGAAAGTACTAACTAACTAATTTATTTATTTATTTTAAGTGAACTAGTAAGTATTATGCAAAATTAAAGTTTATAAAAATGTAGTATGCTACATTATTGTCACCTCAATTTACAATGCGTGTGAGTGGCATCTAGTTATCTTTATATATATATATATATATATATATATATATATATATATACACAATCACAGACTCAAATGGATGTCTGGGGTAAGCAGAGTTTTGCACTCTCAGCAGTCTGACATGAGCATTAGAGCTTTTCAAGAAATCTGATCTTAACAAAGAGACTCTCTAGACATCATTTTATATGATTTTGGAGGCATGTTTCTGCTTAGCTTGATGATGTCATCCTGCAGTTCCACCATGTTGGTCATAATGTGGTCACACATCGATCACCTTGATAAAACAAGAGAACCGAGAAGAGTAATTTATGCACATTAACGGGTCACACACCAGCTGTAAGTGGGAGCTGTCTGAGGGCATTGTACTCTTCATATGCCTTTCTCTCTCTGTTTTCTTCTTATCCTCTATCTCTGCTGAGGAGCATTGAAACTTCTCCAAGAAAAGGGACATTTCAGCTTTTGCAAAAATAGCAATGGCAAAAAGAACAATGTACCTCTCCGTCTCTCTCTGCTATCTTTGTTCCACACTGTCTCTCTTCTATCACTCTCACTTACGTTGTTTTGGTGTTCTTCTTTGTCGTGGCACATGTTCTGCTCAGTTGAAGAATGAAGACTGCTGCAGGAAGAGGTCTGCATTAACATAACAATCCCTCCAGGGGTGAGATCTGATTAAGGGCAGGGCATCACTGCATAACAGAGACACTGCACTCGAGAGTCTCACTCTATCTCTCCCTTGCCTTTCTACAGGCTTTCTAATAGTCATGTGATGTTTTTTATTCAAGCACTAGATCGGGTTGAAGTCGTAGAACTGGAGCTTAAACCAAACACTGGTCAAGCATACCACTGTCTCACCAAAAACAACGACAACATCAAAAGCTTTCTCCCAATCAACAGCTCAACAGATAATGATTGATAGTTAAAGAGTCAGATGCTTTTTGTAACAGTCACTACTACAGCTAAATATGCTAACACTTGCTACTACAGCTAAATATGCTAACAGTTACTCGGAAATCTACATACTGTATATTTACTGTAACAGCCATAGATATTCACTACTACAACTAAACGTGCTTACAATTGCTACTACATCTACTTAAAAATAGTCTATAAAACAAAACAACCATACAGCTGCAGATTTATCAAAATAGTCACTACAACAGCTAATGATGTAGCTAATAATAGTCGCTACTACAGCACTCATTTATTCATGTACAAAAATTGTCATTTAAAGAGAGGGGTTAGACAATAGAAATATATTTACCATATATTAAGTAATTGAAAATACAATAACTTTGGGTCGGTACAAATTTTTCATTTTTTTGAAAGAAGTCTCTTTTGCTCACCAAGGCTGAATTTATTTGATCAAAAACAAAGCAAAATTGGGAAATATCATTACAATTTAAAGAGGTCCTATTATGCTTTTTCACTTTTTCAACTTTAGTTAGTCTGTAATGTTGCTGTTTGAGCATAAAAAAGATAAAGTTCAAAAGAACAGCATTTATTTATTTTCCTGTAACTTTTGAGCAATTTAATGCATCCTTGCTAAATAAAAGTATGCATTTGTTTAAAGAATGTTTATTAAAATAAAAATAAAAAATAGGTATGCAGATTGTATTTAAAGACTCCTTATTTAGGCAGGTCAATCATAAACATAACTCAGAAATTTGTCTGCTATAACAGGACACTTCCCGTTTTATAAGGTTGATATTTGCCATAAACAACATACAGTAAACAAACCATACAACTGAACAAAGTGGGTTAAACACATTAAGTATCCAGTCAGACGTCAACATTCAAGCTGGAGAGGACTAGAGGACTTTAACTCACCCTGTTAAAGCGCTTGGCCTGGAAGAGGTGCCCGTTCACCCGGTACAGCTTCCTCCATCGTCTAGCTCCACGGCGGTAGATTGATTCTAGGAGAGAGAGGAAACGGTTGTATAGGAGCAGCATGAAGACTCGAGGAATGAAAAAAAATCAATCCCAACACGGAATGAGGGAAGTGGATTCAAAGAGGAGTGATAGAATAAGGGAGATGGACAGAGGTGTAGCTGGTCTTGACCCTGAACGTAGATGGATTTTGACTGCAACTGGATGAAAACCTGTCCCACAGAAGATAGCTATCAATCCCTCCCTCTCTCTTGCTCTCTTTCGTTGCATCCCTGTCTCCATCTGACCCACCCTCCTCTTCTCACTCTCTCATTTCTGCTCTCTTGTCGTTCTGTTATTCCCTGCAGCATCATTTCAGTCAGATGTCGACAGTCTCAAGTAAGAAGTGACAAGCATCTACATTGACCTAAATTGATTCAACCAGAACGAGACTCTGATCTGCTGCCTGGGGTTTTGTCTTTATGTGTCACCACCTTGAAAACATAAACAATGACCTTTTTGGGAGGTTTCTGAGCTGACCTGATTGACCAAAATACTGACTGCATCTGAAAATTAGGTAGGTGTCCAAAATGGTGTGCCAGGGTTTCTCATGTCGGTCCAAACCTGTATGACTTTCTGCGGAATACACAAAAGATATTAGGAACAATGTTTTTGTCACAATGAAAGTCAATGGGGTCCAAAACAACACTGTATGGACAATTTTCAATCTTTTGTTTTCCCCCTTGACAGACAAAAGTCATGCAGCTTTAGAACAATGTGAGAGTAAATGATGACAGAATTTTAATTTTCATTATCCCATTACATTAAGTACCACCTTAAAAGGGAACTTCGTTGATTTTCAACCAGTTTGTTTTGTTGCTATGTCTGTATTATATGTAAATGTGGATTATTTTTCCATGTCACCGTCACCAAGATATCCCTGTTTATTTGTCAGCAAAAGTCCACCGGATGATGAAGTCCACGAAAACAACTTTTTGGACAGCTACATTGCTACAGATTGCACTTTTTATCCAAAATATGATATTCTGATTGAGATTAGTGCATTATGGTTGTTGAAGTTTTCCTACCTTTTTCACCACAGCACTTTTTCTGTTTTCTATAGTTTCGTGGTACCAATTCAACACCGACTGTGAATTTCTACTGCATAGACAGTCAACTTTTATTAAAACTGTCTTGCCAGCGGTGAATCACCCAATGATGTGGACAGAACCAATGGTATTTATCACTAAAGATACAATGATATTGCATAAATAATGGTATTTAAACTCTTTAAAGGCAAACACCATTTTGTCCTCGATGGTGACCTACAGGTACATCAGATACCTCTATCTCCCTCTGTTACAATACTTTAAATGTTCCAGTTAAGTTGGCAGACCATCATCATTTTCGAGCGTAAGGGAGAGGCTGAGAATTGTGCTCAAGCCCTGGAGATTTGCTGTGTCTGCTGCTGTTTCATGTTTCTTCCCTCAACTGCAGCTCAGTTACGTAAAACCGATAAATATTGAAATATTGTCAAAACTTTCAAGTGTCAGCCACTAATGAGCACCGGAGGAGATTCAAAGGCCTGGGACGCTTGTGTGTATGAGAGAGAGATCTAAGCAAAATGAGTAAATGAAAGTCTGCATTAAGCCCTCAGAAACTAATGTGTGGCATAAAGTAGAGCTTGAATATTTAATTCCAATAACAATATACATGCAGCTTTGGAGTATACTAAAAATAAAATGCAAGCGTAAAACAACACTCATCACATATACACACCACACGCACACGCACACGCACACACACACACACATTCAGACATTCAATGTGTCGCTTACATCAAACCTACACAACATTAATGATTTATTAATAGAACATGATAAAGCTGAAACTCACAGTCTTCCAGAGGATGCCCCAACAGAGCAGTTCAGCATGAGGAGAGGAGCAGAGTTTTAAACTTTAACATCAAACCCCATGAGGCTGACTGGGTGAAAAACAGCCACTGTCATTGTTTTATACAGGCCAGACAAAAAGCTGTATCTTTTGCTTGTGTGGATTACGTAATATAAAATAAATCTTGTTAAAATTATATGATAAATTGAAGTATATTTCCGAATTAACTATTTCTTACTGATCACATCATGTAACACATGGAAACATAGGATGTTGAAAAATCAGAACCTTGTTCCTAAAGAACTATATTCTTGTTGTCATTGGTCATTAAAACAGATGGCCCCGCCAAAAATCACATCATTGGTTGAACTAAAATGAGTCTGTCGGGCTTGTTAAACAAATGGAGTTACTTTTGATAGTGCCACAGAGCCACAGTTTTGACACCTACATCAACCTATAATTAATAGCTTAGTCTGCATATTAAGCTAAGAGAGGATAACATTTTTTTTTTAATCTTACAGAAGTGACATGCCTAGTAACAGGTGCAAAAAAATACTAAAATGTCCATCTGTATTTATATATCAATTAATATTCAGCATCTTGGCCTGCCTTGATGTTAGTTTTCACATGCCAAAAATTCATTAAATCATAACAAAGATCATTACCATTCAAAATTTGGGGGTTGGTAAGATTTTCTCTAATTCTCACCCAGGCTGGATTTATTTGATCCAAAAAATACAGTAATATTGTGAACTATTATGATGATTTAAAATAACTGTTTTCTGTTTTAATGTTAAAATGTAATTTATTCCTGTGATGACAAAGTTGATTTTTTTCTTATGATTATCAATGCTGAAAACAGTTGTACTGCTCAATATTTGTCATACAACCATCACAGTTTTTCAGGATTCTTTGCTGAACAGAACCTGAAATCCACTATAAGTGGACTTAATAAGTGAAAAAAAAAATGCTATAGAAATATATAACATGGCACATTTAAATGTATACATTTCTCAGCTGATTTTCTCCAACAAATGTTTAAAACAGCCAGTCTCTACCTTATACTCTAGCTTCTGCCAGCAAACAAAATAATTCACAATGTTCCTCTCCTTCAACAAAGCAGTGACAGACCTCAACAGAACTACAAACGATCATCCCCTCACAGAGCACAGCGCTGCTGCAGCCCAAGAACAGCTGCTCAGGAAACAGCTATGTGTTTGCTATCATAATCATCCAGATGGCCACTGAAACACCTGTTCTTCGACCTGTAAGGCTGCATGTATATGTCTGAAGCCCAGCCAACATCTTGGCTCAGAAATTGGCCACAACAATGGCATTCATGAAATCATGTATTTGTTATAATCTACCTCACAGAAGTCTCAGTCGGAAATTGCCTCATAAAGTCCTGTAAAACTAAAGCAACTGTACAAGCAAGCTTGGCTCTGACTTGCACTGGGAAATTTGGCAACATCTTTCATGACATGTTAGTGATTTTGAGTCACAATGATGCATTCAAGTGATTCACTCATGAAGGAACTGCTTTTAAAGCCTCTTTCCTGCTTGAGTGGAGTGGAGCTGATACCAATCGCCTGGAAACGGCCTAGTTGAGGGTGCGGCAGGCACAAATTCAATTTTTCCATCATTGCCATGGCAACACACACTCTCTCCTGTGCCACTCGTGGCAGATGCCAGCAGCTCTGGTGGATGAGACATCCGGTCGTGAGAGTTGACACTCAAACAAACACACTACATGCAATAATAAACTAAACATCTATAACGTCTACAACAAAAATAAAGTGGTTTGCCAAATGTTGTGCAACAAAACGCATCACTGACAACACTGTGAAGTGCAAAAACAGGCATCAAAGGAGGAACATCAAAAATAAGAACTAGAAGCTCTACTTTTAAAACTAGATGCTGCTCTGAGCTCCATTAAATCAGAGCAGTCTCTTATAATTTGGTTGGTTTGTAGATATTTGCATCAAAAGTGCACATTTTTTCATTTACCGTAGCTTAAACTGGTAGAGCAGGCCACTAACAACGCCAAGATCATCGTTCCCATTGAAGGGAACACATAAATTGACAAGGTTTGCCTTGAAAGTCACTTGCAAAGCATCTAGATCCAGATACAGAAATAATTCCTCAGTAGAATGTGATGGAAAAAAACACAAAAGATATCTGCTCTTTCTCTCTTCTCATTCTGTATAAAAGAAGCTTTCTCTCTATGCACATCTCCTCAAATCTGAAAGTGTTTGATCGTGCAAAATATTCACAGGCCTCAAGACAGCATCAAATCACCTAAAACACTAGGTGACTGTTCTGAATAGACTGCATTGCCAACCGAAAACAGTACAGTACCAAAACAGTTTACTGACCCAAAGTGAACAAAAAAATTTCCTCAAAATCAAATATTTTTATTTATAATATTAGATATTATAATTAGGGATGCACCGATACCGATACTGGCACAGATGCGCGAGCTTGTCGAGTGAATATCTCACAGGCATCACAGGAAAGTTTGTAGTTCGCTCGGATATTTCAAAAGCAAGTAAGTAAAACAATGCACAAATTACTAAAGTTATTTGACGGTAAGGAGAGAGAGAGTGATAGAGAGAGTCCGAGAGCGTGCATTTCTGTTGCATGATCTTGATTGCGGTTCGCTCCATTAGCGCATGCATTTGGATTAAAACTAAATCGTAAATATAAAACAAACAAAATTTATCGGGGCATTCACTATAAACAACATTTATTTTAAACCTCAAGAATACACAATGCACAAATTACTAAAGTTATTTGACGGTAAGGAGAGAGAGAGTGATAGAGAGAGTCCGAGAGCGTGCATTTCTGTTGCATGATCTTGATTGCGGTTCGCTCCATTAGCGCATGCATTTGGATTAAAACTAAATCGTAAATATAAAACAAACAAAAATTATCGGGGCATTCACTATAAACAACATTTATTTTAAACGTCAAGCATACACGACTTTATTTAAAGCAAAAGTGAAACTAGCAGACTGTGTGAAATGCGCTAGGCTATAAGTGTCTCTCTCATTCTGCACCAATACAAATGTGTTCGCGCTGCGTATGTTTAGCTTGCTTTAAGGCCAAAGTATACTTCGGTTTTTACTCGTACGCGATGGTCCACGTACAGTGC